AATAAAGGCTTTATTTTGCATAGTTGATTAAAAACTTTACTTTGGATAGTTGAATAAATTCTTGTGCTTTCTTAACTGGTGATAGTTGTATGAAAAACTTAAGTTTTCTCTTGGATAGTGAAGAATATTTAACATTTTCTCAGATTGTATAGGATAGTTGAATGAATATTATAAACCAACTTCTATTTGCATGAAAGATATGTATATCCATAAATTTTACAATTTTTTTAAACAAACTTCTATTGCATGAGAGATGCAATGTATATCCATAACTTTTGTGAATTTTTTTCCCTGGAATGCAAGTAAAAAAAGTCAGTGTTGGTACTTAGGCTTTTTTCTGTATTTTGAATCTTTATTTTGGTTGAATAAGTACTTCAGGTGAGCTAAATTTCTCTGGTTTTAAGATCATGAGATGAGTATTAGGGGAAACTGTTTGTATATCTATGGTATTATACTATTTTTAACTCGTTAGAGTAAAAAGCCTGGGATTTGGTGAGATTTTTTAGTGATTCATCACCTTATTTTTGTTAATGTGAATGATCACTGGCAGTAAAGGGATACTTTTGTAGAAGACTGTAAGATCACTCAAGCTTTCTAATAGAAATTTATATAAACAATGCGGTCAACTGCCAAAGTTTTGATCTCTTGAAATGTTTATTTTTGGCATTCCTTGGAAAGGAACAAAAATTTTATCTAGAGGGGTGATGCAGAAACAATTGACTATTTGACTTGAGAGGTGGTACATTTTGTAGATGATCAGTATCAACATAAACTGGAGTTTGGGTTTCCAATTAAAGATGTTTATGGGGGTTTTGGTGTCTCTGAACTCATTTTGACGTTCTGGAACTCTGAAATTCCAGGCGCGATTGAAATAGCATTCCATTGGGCCAGGATCAGGAAGGCTTGGGAAGAATTCACCCAGACTGGTGTGGATTTCAACTTAATGACATGGCTCTCTCTATCCCTCTCTCCCCCCACATCTGTGTCTGATTGTAAATGGTCAGTGCTATCTAGTTCCTCCATTACTGGGTCTACCATTAACCGTCCCAATCACCCATCCACTACGCTTCTTATCATGCCTCCCCTGATTGGCACTGATTAACCAAAACAATTAAGTACATTGTTTCATTGTTTTGTCTACATCCACAGATCAACTGCATTTGTTAAAAACTGAAATTTAAACTCCTAACCCCTGAGGTCAAAAGATCAATGTTGATAATCTGCATATTATAGAAGCTCCGCCCATCTAATTACATCACCTGTTAACTCCTGCTGTGTACATGCAGATTTAAAAAAAAAAAGTTACCAAATAATATGTATTGAAAAAAAAGAACTCATCACTTGATTTGGTTGTTGATAACAAAAGCTTGAAAGAAAGAATGGAATCTATGGAGGGGAATTGAGTATTGCCTCTTTCCGATAATTCTTATCAAGTCCCAAGTCATTCTAAGCCCCACATGATGAGATGTTTCACATTTTTTAATCCACTCAGAAATTTTTCTTAAAAAATGCAAAAAGAGGCAACGCCTGATAAATTAGCAATAGGAAGAATCTGCACTCGTGAAAAAGTCAGAGGAATATATATTTTTTCAGTGAGATCTGTATAAAGGGAAAGAACTATGTCTATGCATACAGAAATATATTTTTTTTATTTCAATAAATATGCATTTTTTTTTTTTTTGCAAGTGTTAAAATAATTATCAATATATCTTTCCTAGTAAAAACATTTAAACACTAGGTTAAGATTATTTTTGGTTTAAAGATTTAAATGGGTCATTTATTATGTGCATTCATGATATAAATTCACCTTTAGAACCTTCATGGAAAGCCAATATGCATACAGTCTTAGTTTTTTTTCCACCAGAAATGTTAATGTGGTTTTGACAGTTTTATTTCCGAGAAGCCAGATGAAGCTATGTAGATTACCAGCACAGCTTAATATATGCCTTTCCTTTATAAAAAATATGTATTTTTTTAAAAACACTTTAAATGTTTCTATATTTAATTTGGTACTGGTGATTTTTTTTGGCTGAAAATGAATTTACAGGCAAAAATTAAATGAGAAATGTTCTTGCGAAAAACATGAAAAAGTTATAGATAGATGTCCGAGATAAATTTCATTAATTGTTTGAAAAAACATTGACAGTTATGAATTAGTTGTTAAAAAAATAAGTCTATCCTTGTTTCATTGGCTTTGATTTGCTAATATAGAATTTTATAATCTCATTAATCACTAGTTGTCAAACCCTGCATTTGATGAATGATGTAATTGTCCATAAATTAACCTGTGGAAATTCTAAAAACAGAAATGTTGCTGCAGGGTGTGCAGGCCCATACAATGTCCTATTGTCTACCAGGCAAAAATGATCTAACTGGCATTTAGCCCTGTTTGAATAAAATAATGATGTTGTTTTGACTTGGGCCTGGGTGATTGTTATGACATAGATTGTCATAGAGGCATCACAGTGTGTGAGAAATAGAATAAGCGCCTGCAATTGACAAGTCCGGGATGAGAAACTGACATTACCTCTGGGAGTCCATTTCCAAACAGTCTCTGCAATTATTCACATCTCATAATTACATGGAGTAACTTGTGTTCCAGATTTTCTTCCCCCAAAAAGCCAATTTCGTTTTTTTTGCCGAGGATTTTTGTGCAAAGAAAAAAAGCCATTTTAAGAGGACATTCTGTCTCGTTGCATTTTGGATTATAAGAATTAAATATGGCTGAGAAGCTGCAGTTGCAATACTACAATATGGATGGTTGGTATTCCGCAAAAGTTTTTAGCTTCATTAATGAGGGTCGTAAATTAGAAAATTTCCTTTTTTCATTCATTAGCTAAATTGTGTTCATCAACAATATGTAATACTAATTCGTATTGATCGCGACTTCAAAAATCGAGAAATAATGAACTTTATAGAGAAACCATAACAAGTCTCATTACAAACCCAGGGAAAATTTCCCTAATAACTAAGAGGATAAGATGTATACAGAACTTGACAAGTTTTGATGGATGGCTGCTAAAATTGAGCCTGACGTCTAGTTACCAAGTCTACTTGAAGAAATTGCAAAGCAGGATAAGGGAATTTATCATGATCCAATCACTTTCCCCCAGAAAGTTTTAGTGTGCTTTCTCTGGTGAACTTTTTTGAGTTTATTAAAAACATTTGTTGAAATTAGTGGACAAAAGCATTGGGGAGATGTGGCATTTCCTTTTTGTCTCATAATGAAGTTTTCCAACGAAAATGGTTTTTCCTTCACCTTGAGTGCCAAGGAAAATGAAGTTTTACTGGAAAATAATGTAAACTATATTGCATTTGATGACCATTTCTGGCGAAACTGCCACCGGATTTATCAGATTGCTTCTTTTATTGAATTATATGCAAAATTTTCAAACAAGCCAATGAGAATGTATATCCATGGCATATTTGATTAGAAAAGGATTCCAATTAATTTGTAATCATTCCCAGCCTGGTTGGGACTGTGTAATTGAATTGGCAAGTCAATGGGTGACCAACATTATTAGATCAGGCCAATTTCACATAAATGTCATTGTATTTGTTACAAGAACCAGGCTCCAGATTGGGGTACTCGAATTTGCTTTCACCTAGACGTACAAGGACAAAGTCTTATTTTATCATTTCTTAACCGATTCAAGAAGCTTTTGTTTTTTTTAAAGAATTTTTACTATTTTAATGGAAATGCATTAAGTTACAAAAACGTTGATTAGTGAAGTCATGTTTTTTTTTTTTTGGTGTATTTTGTCTGGCCCGATTCTGGTTTTGTTGGTGTAATTTAGTCCCGTTGTCGATTAGCCGTATCCAAGCCAATCTGTTACGACTCATCACGTAGACTGTAACCCTTCCAAAATTCCCCCCAGTAATTGACGCTAAGCTTCATTTAACAAATTTTTCAGATTTCCTTCTTTTGCTTTCATAAGAAAAATTATGTTCAGTGTGCTATCTTATCTATCTGAATTTTTCATTTATTGAAAAAAATTCATCATTTTCAAATTGAAAATGGCATAAAAATATTTTTAAAGATAAAAGATGAATTGTAACTGTTTAGGAATCTTATGATGAAAAAATTTTATGACCTATAAAATTTTATGATTTTATAAGCCTATTTATGTAATGATGAAATATTATTATATGATATTTTAAAAAATTAGATCTGAAAAAAACAGAATTGAGTGTTAAAATAAAGGTTTAAACATTATCAAATTATTAATATGGATAACTTTTTTTTGGTGATTTTATCAGAAAAAAAAAACGAATTCAATAACTAGTGTTGAGTGCTGTAAGTCAAGTGATTATAAGAGTTCAAGTAAAAAGGTTAGGGTTGCAAATGTTCAATATTGTGAATAAATCTTGATTAGTTCATAATGGTAAAATTCTATGCAATTTAGGTGATTGCAATTTCTGTTAAAACCTGTTCCCTCATAATGGAATAATTAGTGTGTATGGTGATGTCATTCCCTACTTGTGCTGTTTATCTTAATTTGTTGGGAATAGTTGATGGTTTTCCTTAGAAAATTCCCTCGGCACTGATTCTTTAATCAATAGACTGCCTGGGTAGGTGGTTGTAATAGAAACACTAGTCTGAAGACAAAAATAAATAAACAAAATCAAAATAGAGACTCCAATAAATTACAAGATAAACAGTGGGAGGATAGGAGAAATCAATTATTCCTGATTATTTTTCGGTTTTAATTTTTTTCAATGGAGTGTTAATTGGCCAAAAATTATGTTTTCAATTCATGAATTTTAATAAGAAAATTTATTTTTTATAATTTTTGTTGGAAATAAAAATGAATTGAATTTTCATGTTAAAAGATAATTCCAATTTGAGTTTTAAAAAAATCCTTGTATTAAATAGATAATTAATATTTAAATTAATGGAAAGTTTACTTAATGTCCATTATTATGTAATAAAAAATTGTTATTGTTTTATTTTTAAACTTTCAGAATATGTAAATAATTTATATTTTTCTTTGTTACAGGGGAAGGTCTAGACAACAGTGTCGGATCAGGGGAGGGAACTGCGGATGAAGATTCCGAGGACCGTGCCAATTCAAAACGTCAGAAAAAGCGGGGCATTTTCCCCAAAGTGGCCACAAATATCATGAGAGCATGGCTCTTTCAGCATTTAACAGTAAGTTTTATCATTATTTTAGAAAAAATTTTATAATTTGAAAAATCTTTCAACTAAGGAAATGTTAAAATTGCACAATACTTTTTATCTTAAGAGAAAAATTGTTTGTATATTTCGAGTGAAAAATGAAATTTTAATCAGAATTAAATGAAATGTACATGAGAACTGATTTAATTAATGACCTTCTTTCATTGAAAAAATCTGAAAATATTAATGTGGCAGGTAGTTCATTTGTAAAAACAATGACTTTTATTTTTAGTTTTTATAAATGTTATTTAGTTTATTTCCTTATCACATTTATACCAAAAAAAATTCTGAAAGTTGTTGATGAATTGAGGTATACCTCAAATTTAACGAAAAAAAAAAAACAGCTTAAGTTACAAGTAACATACAGCTCATCACAAAACATTACCCTACAAAAAAGGGTTTTGTTTTAAGAGATAGATAAGTTAGAATTTGTGTTTGTTTACCTCGAAAGATAAAAAGTCATTGATCATTTTCAGTGTTAAAAAAAAAATAGTGTAAATCAAACATTCCTCTCTTCATTCCAAAATTTTCCGGCTTCAAAATTTCTGTCAGCACAAAAGAAAATGAAAACAGAGAGAGATAAGGGGCAATGACTGATAAAAGGGGAAGGGGGGTGAGTACAGTTCACAAAAAATAAGGAAAAGTTAGGGAGAAAGAAAAATAATGCTAAACCAGGCTCCGGAAATGCATTTTACATTAATTAGTAGATACATCTGAAAAGATATCATTTATAATGAAACCTGTCCAAATATGATGGATGGCAATATTCGAAGGCTGAAGGAAGGCTTGAGGAATATTGGATTTTGATATGGTGTCATATCGCTGGTAATCCGAATGTTAATATCAGGCGACACAGGGATAGGGCGCTCAGAGAGGCAATGGAGAAAAAACAATGGATAATTAGGGCCCTGGTGCAGTAGGATGCTATTTTGCCTATACAAAGGAATTAAACGTGGTCGGTGGAATTGATGGGACGTCAAAATTCCAATAAGAAACTTTATCTGCTGATTCTGTTGATAGTATCATCATCGAAAAACAGAGTTGACCTTTCTATCTCCCAAGAAAATTGACGCATAATCAAAATATTAGTTTTGCCTCTAACATTTCCTTCTCTGTCCTCAACGCAAAAACATTTAATACCTGTGGCCGTTCGCAAGCCAGGATAGTTTTCCTATAATTGCACAAGCAAACAAAAGACGCTGGTGTCGGGTTTCTATATTTTGAGTGGTACTTTACACAGGCAAGTCACATTGCGTTAGGAAAATTGACTTTTAGGATATCAAACTTCCCCCCAAGAAAATATGTCTGGGGTAACTTCTCGGTACCACTAAGTGATGGAGCACCCAGACAGGGTATAGCCACGAATGTGACACACGAGACGATCTTGCCTAGGTGTGTGGACCTGGGGGGGGATGACTTATGGGGGTAGGGTGTCAGCCGGTCGGGGGTTAACGAGAATTATCACTGTACAATGACATCACATAATTTAAAGCTTTGGAAAGTGTGCCAGAAAATAAAAAGCCAATTCCATAGCTTCTCGTCTACATGTTTTTTGGCTCTTTCATGCTTGAGTGAAAATTATGGAACGGCTGGGAGAGAGAAGAAGGCAGACAAGTAGGGTCTCTGTGACGCAAGGTCATTGACTAAAGAAGAGACTGTGAGGAACAAAGGGATGTCAGCTGCAGAAATACTTATCCTGTGTTGTCAGGTCATTTAACAGGGGTCGGCCATTACTCAGGGGGAAGTGTACTCTTCTGAAAATTGTAGACAGGATCCTAGAAAATTTAAAAAAAAACAACTTTCTGTTACCCTAAAAAATAAAAACTGAAAATATAAGACACTACAAGATTACCTGTAAAATAAAAAAATAAATAAATAAATAAAATGAATATCGGTAAATAAATAAACTTAATAAAGAAATTTTATTTTAAAAATTGTCTAACTCCCCCCCCAAAAATATTGAAAAATAAACATTAAAAGGTATTAAACCTGAAAAAAAAATTGAAAAAAAACCCAAACAAAACAAGAGTTAATATCTACTACATTTCAAAGTGAAGGGAAATGTGAATGAAGGAAGTGTAGATCATGCATAAGGTGATTGATGACCAATAGTGATTGAGTGGAATTACTTGCAGGTTTTTGCTGTGGGAACTTGTGCCAATATTTTCCAATTACTTGTAATGTATACCTTATTCAATAGTGACCACATAGTGTTTGTGGTTTTCTGAACATACTGCTCTAATAACAGAGGGGTGGGAGGCTAACTAAGTCAAGACCATTCAATCGAGTGGCTATACAAACAGATTTTTTTTTATCTTTGTGTCTCCGAGTTTAAGTTTCAAGACCAATACTCTGTGCACGACTCCTTCTATTTTTGACTTTTCCTTTTTTATTGAATAAACAGTTTAAGCATTATAGAAAACACTACAAAAAATTTTTAACATCCGGAAACCCCTAGCATGCTTCGATCTCCGTCCCTATTAAAGGTGTAAAGATAAAAAACCGATGTTTGGAAATAATCCATAGAATAGTTCAACCTCCGAAGCTGTGTGGTAATTTATCATTTTAATTGGTGCATTATTGATTATGATCAGATTGAACTATTTATTCTTCTCATTACTGTAACGGCTACAGCTCAACATCTCATCACAAGGGAGGAAAACTGATAATAATTTGCCGGGCTTTGAAAGGATTTTCCCTCCCCCCTCTGTGGCACCTTATTGGCAGTCCAGGGTGACAGAACTGACTCTTACTTATCTCGGCTTTGGAACATTATCCACATGTTATGTGTGAAGGAGGAATCTTCGGCCAGTAATAAAATGTCTGTTTTTTCCCCAGTATCACCTGAATGGGCCCAGTGTTGGCCGCAACCTGCTGGGTCTTAAGGGTAATTCGTGTTGATAATTTAAAAGCCAAGTGTGACAAGATGAGGATCATGGTCGGTGGAGTGTCAGGGTATTGTCGCTGGTCAGTGACGTTACTGGACGTCTCTCCCTCCCTCAGCACCACTGGGGCCCAGGCTTTGTCTGACAAAATGGATGAGCTCTTCACCCTGACAGCTTGGGTATTGATATTAGATTAGATAGGGCCCCAGTTTTGTGCTTTTGTTTATATTTCTGAGTGTGTGCGATGATTCCTTTGTTGGGCCTTTTGTGAATGTGAAAGCCATATACTGGATGGTCATTTTCATTGCACACATCTGACACCTATAAATCAATCGCCCTCCACTCCTCACACAGTGTCAGCAGTCCTGAAAAAAAAATATCCTGATGCCTAAACACAATGCTCATTACATTGTCAATGTTTGGCTGTTGAGTTGCCATGGAATTTGAAGAATGAAACAAAAAGTGCAACATTTTTGTACCCTAGTGCATCATGTAAAGTGATGGTGTGATGGAGCATTGCATTTTGGGTAATCTTTGACAGGATATAAATCTAGGAGAACCTGACAGCTGTGTCATTATCATTTCAGACCTGTGACAATGTGACCCATTATTGACACCCCTGGACCCTTATTTCTGACTAAATTGCTGTGGCTAGCTTGGCCAAATAAGCACCTTTCTTCACCAAATAGTTTGCCTTTTGTTAGTGAAGTTTACCAAATTAGGTCCTATGATTCAAGGTTTCCAACGATTTGATGATCAATTGATCACTTTGACAATTTAACCACATCCATTTTACCTTCGTAATGAAACAACGGACATCAAGAAGAAGAAATTATGGGTCTTGAATGTTTCTAGTTTGAGACATAATCTCGAGGGAAAGAGATACTTGAAGTTTCCTGAAAGTTGTTACATAGCACAATAAATTGTTTGTTTTTTTTATTTGCAAGTATTTCAAAAAATGGAACAATTACATTTAATGGATATTTTATTTACACATATGCGTAAACAGTCTCATTGAGGTACACAAGTGACATGCTTTTATCTGGGTACAAGCCTCTCTTTGCAAACACAGATGAATCAAGTTTTGAGGGAAAAAAATTCGAATTTAAGTAGAATTTATTTTCGTCACTTTCCTCTTGGATTGACATGTTTTGGATGGCAGTTACTCGCGAAAGCAAAACATAAGGGTCGTAGGTAAATCTCTGGTACTTCATCATGAGCAACAATTATCTTGTTTCCCTCTAGTCATGAACCAAAGTTTACATATGACTTTTAAAATACTTCATAGGTAAAAATTGAAAAAAATAAACCAATTGAAATTTCTGACTGCGTTCCTCGTGCAGAATCGCAGACATGTAAAAAAATTCTTTCAAAGCAATTGATAGCTAAATAGAGAGTCAAGAGGCTTGTTTTTGACTTCTGCATAACACTGCATTAGCGGGACTGCAAACCTGCACCCCCCAGCAGCCAAGTCTTAATAAGAGTCATAAATGTCTCCTCTATTTTTTTTTGCAGCACCCATATCCCTCAGAAGAACAAAAAAAGCAATTGGCCCAAGACACAGGGTTAACCATTCTCCAAGTCAATAATTGGTAAGTAAAAAAATAAAAATAAATTCCTAAGAAAAAGAAGGATGAAAAAATGCTGTAAAAGCAAAGATCTGAAATAGTTGATTTAACCATTCTCCATGTCAATAATTATTGGTTAGTAAAAAAAAAATCCTTAAAAAAAAGTATGGAAAGGCAAGTCCTGAAATAGTTTTAAGAGGTGTAGAAAGTTCATTACCTCTTTTTTCTAAATGTCCAAGTCGCATCTGAGGTTTATTTAGGTTTGTGTCTGAAATAATGTGTATTTTTGAGGGTTTGTTTGTGAAATGAGTGATTGAGTAGGAAGTTTGGGGGAGAGATAAGGTTTTGTGTGGAGATGTTGGGGGGTGATAGGGACCCCCTTTATCTGCCGGGGATCAGGGAATTTGTCTCGGTCAGCTTTCCAGTTCCCCACCACATCTGCTGGATTCCTCCTTACTGTTCATATCCAGGGGACGATGATGTTTATAATTGTTAAGTCAGGTGCACAATCTTGAAAAAAAGTTTGTTAAAATTTTTTTTTTTTTTTTTAAATATCGACCTCAAAACTTATCGTCAGAGTGCACATAAGTTCAGCTGTTAAAGGAATATTACTTCTGAAAATAAAACATTTATAGATTTCTTTAAAAGTTAATGGACTTGGATTTTTGATTTATGAAATGCATCTGTTCTGACTGAGTATTGGGTCACCTAGATTTTGTGAATGGAAAATGGTAAGGGAGGATTAAATATACATTTATTGTTAATTGAAAATTTGTCGACGAAAAATGAGATAACCATACTTTGCAAAAATGACCGACTTTATATTGAAATTTATTATGATCATAACTTCATAGGGAAATTAGAAAAAAAGGAATTTGTCCTTAAAGATTTCTGGTTAAAAGAATACATTTTTAACAGGATCATAGGGTGAACCATTATAAATTTTTGTCGGTGCCTTAAACGGAAATCATTTGAAAATTTGAAGGTCTTCCATATTTTTTTGACGATTATGACAGACCACTGATGTACATTAATCAAATTCATTCCCCAAATTTAGGTGCATTTTTTACCTTTTTAAAAGTGAAAAAAAAAATAGTTTAAAATGCTATCTAGTAAATCTAGGCAAAATATCGTGTGAAAATGATATCCCTCGTGCCGGCTTTGTTACAAGGGCTTTCAGAATTTTGAGTTGAATTGCTGCCATCGGTTTACTGTGAATGGACTAGCCATAGGTATGGGGTATAAAATTTCTTGATAAAATCTTCATATTAAACTTGTGTTTTCTTATAATTGACCGAGCTCTGAAACTGACGCTTGTATCATACTAATAATCAATAGTGGGAAAACTATCACCTCCCAATGTATTGTGTGGCTATTTTTCAGAAATTTACTTGTTCTTTCAAAGGATTACAAAAGGTTTTAAACCATTTCAAGCTCATTACACTTAATGAAATCTTATCAGTCACATATTAATTTTTGTATATAATACTTTTTTTCTGAGCTACTGCAAAGACCTGAAAAGACAGAGAATTTACGTGTAATTACAGGAACTATAATCTCGCTAAACTGACACGTAGCATGGCGACAGGCATCTTTAGATAGAAAATCGTAATGGCACAAAGAGAATAATACAGAAAATCGGAACAATTAACGTGTGCAGAAAAAGAGAAAAAAAAATCCCAAAGTCAAGATATACCGAAAATTACCCTGGCATTGGACAATAGTTCAGATCTTAGTTTACTGCCGTCAAAATAGAACAATTTAGAGAGAAAAAATTCTGTCGCTACCCCTGGGGCTGAATTAAAGTGGCACGAACAGGGATTAAGTAGAGGGGAGGCTGAACTTTTCAATATTTGTTTGGAATTTTTTCAATCTATAATTTTCTGGTATGTGACCTTGCAGGCCTGTTTTGCATAGCGCTTGCATTAACTATGTGGAGGAGAAATTTTTTTCAGCCACATAAGTGGCTTTCATTTCTCTCTGAAAAGGGCCATAAGGGTCTTTGTCGCAGGGTAAAGCGTAAGTGAGGGGTTGAGATTTCAGGCAACAAAGCACCGTAAGCAGCGATTTAATGGATCATTCAGGAATCTATCTGGAGAAATCTTTGCAAAGAATAATTCTATGTCATTAAATAATTGCTGGATAAACATTTCATTGTACGGAGACAGTCCCGTTTTGGCCTTTTTTCACAAGGTTATCTGGCAAGACATCTTTTTACCGCTAAAGCAATTAAATCTTATATTCTGATATCACTGATAGTGGAGCAAGAGAATGCTTGTATTGAAGGCCTCTCTGAATTTCTTATTTGTTGTGAAGCCCTCTTTCCAAGGACTGTGTTTTCCTGTCACTTTTTGGTGGGCTTTTTTAAGACAGGTGTGCGGTAATTTTAGGGAGAATGGAAAAGTCTTCATATTATGTAAACTGCTTCGACTTGAAGTTTAACCATGTCTTCTAACGTTACATGTAGGAACTCTGGTCAAAATCCAAAATTACGCTGTTTGCATCGAATTTCTTCTACAATATGATATCATAAAAGAGCTTTGCATTAATGCGATATTATTAGGATTTTTTTTTTCTAATTGAGCCGATTTTATTGTTAGCCAGATAAAAATGAGAGAGAAAAAGATAAAAGTGCAAAGCAAGCTCTTCCAGAAATTTGTTGGGGGGTAGAAAAGATCCAATTAATACATGGGAACTGGGACTCGGAACTCGGCAAAAAACCCCACTGCTCTGCAGCTGTACTGTGTAAACATGTTACTGCATTCACGCCATATGGCTACTTTGCTATTTTTTGAGTGAAAGAATCTTAAATAAGTTTTTTTTGTCAGTTTCTAATCCATGAAACATCAAACCAATTTGCTTAGCAGATTTAGTATTCTGTGTATGTGTTCAAAAGCCTTGTTTATAGATAATAAGTAGGCAGTAATTGGACATATTACTCGTTTATATTTAGAAGAACAGCTTCCATCTACAAGACTTGTTTATTTTGAAGAGATTTCCTTTCAAATTAATCACATTTTGGAATAGCTATTTACCAAGAGTTTGACACATGGAACACTTTATTGTAGAAAAACACAAGCAAGGAAGAGTCAAACCCTTCCTTCTGGATAATTAATGATGAATTGACGGAGACAGTTAAATATGCAAAGGTTTCATCACTTATAGGTGATTTTATGGTCACACCTTCTCAAATAACATTGATTTTTCAGAATTTTGATGGGTATTTAAATGTTTTGTTTCATAAAAATGTGGGCCCATAAACTCCAAACGCCTGTGACCAAGGACCATTAGCTACAATTTAATATTTCAAAACTGAACACAGAAGAGAGAACTCGCGAACATAAAATAAAAAAATGAAGGTGAAAAATTGATGAACAGATAGTCACAGGTATGGTTTAAAGGACAGGGGTTTTTTGGTTTGTGTTAGACCTACATCAGAACGTGATTCAGTTGCTTGTAAGAGAACGTGTTGATTTGCTTGGTTTTTTACTATAACAAGGCAAATACATTACAAGTATGTATAAAGCCCTGTTGTTTATTGAAGCTACAGGCTGTAGTGGTCGTGTCCAGCAAATCGCGACAACGTAGAAATGCAACGCGGATGGATTATTTGCTCTCCGTATGTCGCACGCTCAGGGGAAGGGAAAAAAAAAGAAATGTGTCCGTACGACCTTAATTTCCTCACTTTTGAACGGTGAAATGAAAAAGCAAATTTATGGATTTTTTTTTGCTTTTCCTGTCCTGGCCACATTCACCTTGGGCCCAGTGTGAAGTGTGCAAACGAAAATTTTCACCCAAGTCCCCAACGAGAACATGTTTTATCTCTATAGAAAACGCTTTTATTAAACACTGGATATAAAGATGAGACCTAGATATGTTGGGACACCTTGACTGAACCGAACAACCATACTGGAGTGTGGAATTTCAGGAAAGACGGGATATTTAAATCACTCCTAATCAGAAATCCCCTAAATTGTTCTAATGCAAAATGGTGTGCCCTATACCCGTTACATAGGTATTTTAAAGAGTGGACCTGCTAGTCAGCTTTTATCGGTTTCTTTCCCTATATCTTTGTTAGCAAATATCCAAAATAAATTCACCTCAATGATAAGGGTTTTTTTTTGAAGCAGAATGATAAATTGTTCCGTGAGAGTAATTTTGACCATTGAATTAGGGGAGTAAGATTTTTTTTTTTTTAAGTGTAGATTAAAAAAGTGTTTTATTTAGCCTCTAATTCTGCTGATGTTTGATCAAGCAAAGGGGGAAAATAAATAAAAGAGAAGCAGTCATTACTCCTAGTTTTTTGCAGTACAGAATATGCAAATTACAATTAGAACATCAGCATACATATAAATAATGCACTTTTAAAATTTTTTATGACATTCACAATGAAAGAGGGATTCTTCTCATGTCATGCATGTGCAGAGTTAATGAATATTCATTTATTTTAATAATGATGAGTAATATCATGTAGGGCCATGGATTACTGTGGGTTTAGTACCACATTCTCACCCCGGCTTAGAAGAGGGAGCATGTTCTATGGGTCAATAAGGTTTTTCTCGCAGATTTCCAGTGCTGAATGGTAGAAACACAGGGCCTATTGATCAGGGACCAACAACATGGCTGTTTATGGTCTACACTCACATAGGATCAGTTTGTTTTATTTATTTACAAATGATAATGTTGTTGAATGGCGGGAATTTTATTTGCATTTTACGAGAAATATTGACCAAATCCGCTGAAGGCCCACTGTGTAGTTAAGTTGGGTAGGCGGGACGGACCATTATGTCCTGTTTGTAATAAGACCGTCGTAAAAGTGTCACATCTTGCACATGTAATCTATTTACCGAGTGCTTCCCTGCCTTGTACAGACAATTGGAGGTTTTATTATTTTTACCTTTACCAGCTCGTGCTCAATGCAGACCCATTAAACATATTTTTTTAGGGTGTTTAATGTTTTAATCCGCTAAGCCGTGTGCGAGACTGGTTTCGCTATGATGGGTTATTCTATTAGCTCACTGTAG